TTGCGGTAATCCCCGCACGGACGCCAGTCGTTGTTTTTCTTCTGAACCAGGTGCAGTGGGTTGGCCCAAGGGCTCTTGGAAGGCCTGCATAAACCCTGTTGCATCATATATTCGAACTCTTGCTTACCAGAGGACCCGTTATCTCGATTACATGTTCTACCTCATGTGCGGCTTGTTTATACGTAACTGATGCTCGAGTTATCTCTGGGAACTCCATTAACATCTCTTTGAAAGGGCAGTCGTCGGCAAAGGCTGTCAGCTTTGGTACTGTTCTACAAATGAGCTGTGCTTGACCTTGAGGAACTTGTCGCCATCAATCAACCGCTTGTGCCGGATGTCAGGCAGCAAATTATAACGCGCCAGAAAATCCGAGCCAATTATAAATGTGTCCACTTCGGCGATGACGAAGGGCCATTGGAAAACCCTGCGGAATCCTAAATCGAGCCGCAGTAATTTCTGTCCATATGTAGGGATGATCATTCCGTTTGCTGCATAGAGCACCTTTCCTAAGTGCGCAAGGTCGCGTCTTGAGGTATGGTCGAGACATCCGCTCCGGTATCCACTAGGAAATTGATCCGGTGACGCGGTCTCGGACCATCAAACGGCGATTCACCACCGCCGAACCTCCTGCCGTCGGGGATAGTTCGGCTTCTAGTTTTCCTGTTCCGTTGATGCTTTCGGCTTGCAGCTGCAGGGTTGCGTACACTGCGTTACCGCCGAAACGTCGGTGATACTAGCACGGTTTATTCTTAGATTGTGACCATGAACGGCTTCTGCGACGAAAATTTCGTGAGGCCCGTGATCGCGCGATAAATGAGCTACCAATTTAGTCACCTGTTCAGTAAGCGCGGATATTTGCTGATCTCCCGAATTAACTTTCGTCGGCGCAACCGTTGCGACGGCATTAACGCCAGTGGATAGCACATTCGTTATTCGGTCTGCTAGTTGCGATAGCTCTTCGAGTTCGTGCTTGCTAGACGCTAGTCTATAGCCTGCACTTGTTGTGGAAAGCGCTTTAGCCATAAAGATTTGAGCACCTCTTCTGACGCGCCATTTTGCGCGAGATCTCGCATCCGACGGAGCAATTGCGACGGGCGGCTATCACCTAGGTCAACCTCGTTTAATAATCTACGCAGTTTCTTATCGGCGCTGTCCGCGAAGCTTCTCATTAACCTATCTTTGAGCGCGACGTACTTATCCATCGCAGGCGAATTGAGTATGATATCGCTAACTTCGGACAAAGAGTCGTCGTCGAGGCATTGTATCACATAATTATACCTCGTGTCGTCTACAATTATGCCTGCGGTGAGGAATTGAGCTTCCATTTGTACGAACCAGAGGTCTGGCTTTTTTTTCCAAAACGGCATGGATCTAATTCTCACGAAAGCGCAGGTCATTTCGATATACGCGATGATACACCGCTGTCTTGATTGCTCGCAGGGGAATCGCTTGAGCCACTCGGCATGTCGGCGGTTTATTTAGACGCGCGCGTAAGGTTAAACACAAGAGGTCAAACGTGCGCAAAAAAAAAACAAAAACACCACGTAATCACGTCGGGGTCACCAGTTTGTGGCTATTGGAGCGACTGCTGTACAATATGGCGCCGATGGTTACCAACCAAAGGCGAAGGACAATTGGCGGGAAATCGTTAAGTTGAGAATGAGTGCTACTCACTGCTTCTGATTTTTTATGCCATGAGGCGATTTAATACACACTTAATATCTAACTAACTAAATACTAAATACAAATGTAAATTAGAAAGTAGAGACGTGATTGCGCCTGTAAGACGGTTCGGATACCGGCATCGTGTCGCGGAGTTACAATACTAGAACTATGAAAATACACTCTAAGAATTTATCTGACGACGTTAACAATTATCACAGACATGAACAGTGATTGGTATCGGTCTCGCGCAATACACAAAGTAATTCAGAACCTCAACTTCCGAGTTCTAACTTACTGACTATAGCAGAGACTTACACGAGGTCTGCACGCGGCACGCCATGACACCAGAGAGAGTGAACGGACGAAGTAACGGAAAGAACGACCGTATCAGCGTCGCGACGGACGCATGCAGCGCCGCCATTGGCGCTCGCAGCGCCGCAGCTAACCGT